AGAAAAAAGTGGAAAAAAAAGGAGAGGAAAAGAAAGAGAAAAATGAAAAAGTGGAAAAAGGAGTGAAAAGGAGGGGAAAAAGAAACAGAAAAAGGAAAAGGGATAAAATGAAAAAGAGGAAAAAGAATAAAAACTTAGAAGAAGAGAGAAGAGAGAAAAAGAAAGAGGAAAAGAGAGCAGAAAGCAAAGAGCAAAGGAGAGAAAAATGAAAAAGTGGAAAAAAGAGATAAGTGGGAAGAAGGGAAAAAAGAAACAGAAAAAGGAAAGGAGATAAAATGAAGAAGAGGAAAAAAGACAGACATGAAGAAGAAGAAATGAGAGAGAAAAGGGAAGAGGAAAAGAGAGCAGAATGCAAAGAGGAAAGGAGAGAAGAACAAAAAAGTGGAAAAAGGAGATAAGTGAAAAGGAGGGGAAAAAGAAACAGAAAAGGGAAATGAGATAAAATGAGAAAGAGGAAAAAGAATAAAATCTTAGAAGAAGAGAGAAGAAAGAAAAAGAAAGAGGAAAAGAGAGCAGAAAGCAAAGAGCAAAGGAGAGGAAAACGAAAAAGTGGAAAAAGAGATAAGTGGGAAGAAGGGGAAAAAGAAACAGAAAAAGGAAAGGAGATAAAATGAAAAAGAGGAAAAAAGACAAAAATGGAGAAGAAGAGAGAAGAGAGAAAAGGAAAGAGGAAAAGAGAGAGAAATGCAAAGAGGAAAGGAGAGAAGAATTAAAAAGTGGAAAAAGGAGATAAGTGAAAAGAAGGGGAAAAAGAAACAGAAAAGGGAAAGGAGATAAAATGAAGAAGAGGAAAAAAAGACAGAAATGAAGAAGAAGAAAGGAGAGAGAAAAAGGAAGAGGAAAAGAGAGAAGAACGCAAAGAGGAAAGGAGAGAAGAACAAAAAAGTGGAAAAAGGAGATAAGTGAAAAGGAGGGGTAAAAGAAATAGAAGGGGGAAAGGAGATAAAATGAGAAAGAGGAAAAAGAATAAAAACTTAGAAGAAGAGAGAAGAAAGAAAAGGAAAGAGTAAAAGAGAGCAGAACACAAAGAGCAAAGGAGAGAAGAACAAAAAAGTGGAAAAAGGAGATAAATGAAAAGGAGGGGAAAAAGCAACAGAAAGGGGAAAGGAATTAAAATGAGAAAGAGGAAAAAAGACAAAAATGAAGAAGAAGAGAGAAGAGAGAAAAAGAAAGAGGAAAAGAGAGCGGAACGCAAAGAACGAAGGAGAGAAGAACGACAAGGAGAGAAAAAAGAAGAGGCGGAGAAAGGAGCGGAGCGGGCGGCGGAGGC